CAGACGCTGCTAAATCTAGCAAGGTATCAGAAGAGTGCTTAACAACGAAGAAGTCGTTTGGTTTAAACTTCTGGCTGGCCACGTCTTAATGTCATCATTACCCCACTAGGAGGGAGTAATCTGTAGAGATAAAAAAATCACCAAAATAAATAGCTCTGTAAGTTTTCGACATTGGAGGCTGACCACATTAGTTTTAATGGACTAACCTAGCTGAAGGTGCTCGGTCATGCATCCGCACCAGATCACGTGTGGGAACGCCGTGCTCAACATCTACTGCAATCGCTAGCCAGATTAGTTCAGACGATCCTCGATATATTGGTAGCTTATCAAATATATATTCGAACCTCCTCGCTTCCGTCTTTTGATTTCACTTGGTGGGTGCGCTTCATATTAGAAGGTGTTACTGGTTAAAGCGTTGTCAAACTCCGAATACCTGTGGCATCGTCACTGGATTGTTATTTGTACTATAATAAGGCAGCTCGGATCCGTTAATTCTACGAACTTCTACTTTTTTGAATCACCTAAAACAATAATCATTTCTTCAATTAACATTATAACCAATTATACATGATGGTTTATGAAAATCCTCATAAAGCATTGTCATGACTTTAAAATCGCATATTATGACTGGTAGAATTGGTGAAACTATTAATAAGCTTGGCCTATAAATTGACTTAAAGTACCAGTGAGTAGTGTTTCCTCGTGGTTATTTTTATCTAATATAGATGGTTTCAGCATGGTTCTCTATCACTTGCTATTTTGTAAACTTCTTGGAACATTGTCAATCTAATTGAAGGTTTAGCGACACAATCATGTATGTAAATTATCAGTACCAGCAGTCGAGCAAATCTGCAAAACAAAAACTATCAAGTCTACCCCAACACTGACAGAGGTTCATGCCATTATCATAGACATCAGTAAGGAGTGTACTCCCCTTGCTTACAACTTATGTTCTCCCTGATAATCACATGAGCATCGCTTCCTGTTTACCATTTTGTAAAGATTTATATGGTGGAAAGAATCGCACAACATGTCACCCATATTTGTGTCACATAAGCTTTTTCAATTCACTCTTTTTCAAATCAACCGATTTTTACTTTGAGCCAAACTCGATTCTTACAACTGACCACCAATCTGTAAATATGCCTATAAATAATTGATTTATTGTACGTCAGAACGTTTGGTCTAGAGCAAGTCTGTCATGGACGCTCTCGCATTGAACAAATTAATGTTAGCCAACTGTCCGAAATTCACATCATGGCATCGCTCAATGGCACGACTATCTTTTCTAAGATCGATCTGGTACAAGCATATCATCAGATCCCAGTCACTCTTTAAGTTATCGAGGAAAGCGCCTTCTTGACTCCTTTTGGTCTGTTTGGGTTCCTACAAATGCCACTTGGATTACGGAATGCTGCCCAAATGTTTCAAAGGTTTATTGATAGCATAGTACGAGACTTAGATTCTGTTTACGTCTATATTGATGACCTGCTAATCGCATCAACAAACGTAGATAAACATTATAAATAAATAACATATTTGTAATATCCCAATGAGTAGAAAAATTAGATTTTCCAACGTTTCGTGACTTAGTGTGAGTCACTTCTTCAGAGAATGAATAACCAAATTAAAACTAATCCAAGTTTAAATAGTACAAAGGATGAACATTATCAACATCTTACACTGTTATTCCGACGCCATTCGGATGATAGAATAGTAGTCAACCCGGACAAGTGTGACCTGGGCAAACTAAAAATAATGTTCTTAGGTCGCATCATTAAGCAAGAGGGTATGTTATCTTTCGAGGACAAGGTACGTGCAATAAGGGAGTACAACATGCCGTTCGCACTCAAGGAACTGAAGGCTTTTATCGGTTTGGTTAACTTCTATCGACGTTTCATCCCACACCTGGCAGAACCATTGCAACCACTAACCGATTTACTTCGCGGTAATCCACGCAAGTTAGAACTGAACGATACCGCACGTACTGCATTTTCAGAGATCAAAACGACCCTCGCTCATCCTAACACATCAGCCACGCTTATTATAGAGGTTGATGCATCGCATTTCGTTATAGAAGCCGTTATGCAACAGAACATCGTCAGTAGTTGGCAACCCCTCGAATTTCCCCCACGACGCATTATTCCCACGGAGACGATATATAGAGCTTTTGGTCGAGAACTACTAACAGCCTACTGTGCCATCAAATATTTCCGACACGCAGTAGAAGGTCTCAATTTCATTCTATTCACCGACCACAAGCCTTTAACTTGCGCTCTGCATACCAAGTATGCCCGCTACTCATCACGAGAGTGCAGACATTTAACTATATCTCTCAGTTCATGACAGACTTTCGTTATATTAAAGGAGAGTCAAACTATTTTGCTGATGCTCCTTCACGTATCCAAGTGGATATAGTTACTTTGCCTGTGCCCGATCTTCCTGCTATGTCTGCTGCCCAAGCAAACGATCCTTCTTGTACATAAGCACTGCAATCTACATCCCTTCAGTGCCAGGAAGTACCCCTAGCTACTAATTCAGGTACTATCCTATGTGATACTTCTACAGGTCTTCCTCAACCAATCGTACCCTCTGTTTACTGTCGTATCGTCTTCGATGCCCTGCATGGACCGTCTCATCCAGGTATAACAGCTATGTTACGCCTTGACGCTGAACGATACGTCTGGCTTTCCATGAATAAAGATGTTCGTATGTAGTTAAAGCAATGCCTAAAATGTCGACGATCATAAGTGCACAGGCACGTAGCTGCCCCGATTGGCACTTTCGCTGCGCCTGATGCTCGCTTCGATCACGTTCATATAGACACTGTAGGACCATTGCCACCATCGGGCGGGTCTAATCACATACTCACGTGCATCAGTCGTTTTACAAGATGGCGCGAAGCTATACACATCACGTCTATTACAGCGGAGACAGTTGCTCACCGCTTCGTAGAACGATGGATAGTGGCTGTACGGTTGTCCCTCAACTCTCACGACTGACCGGGGACAACAATCCGGGTCCGCGTTATTCTCCTCACTGACCTGGCTGCTTGGTACGGAACGCATACACACTACCGCCTAACACCCAGCATCAAATGTCTTAGTCGAACGGTTTCATCGCCAACTTAAAAGTGCTCTTCGAGCACACGAAAACAACAATTTGTACGAAACCTTACCGCCATCTTGGGCATCAGAACGAGCTTAAAAGCAGATATACATTGTTCTGCCGCTGAACTTGTATACGGCACGACATTGCGTCTGCCTTGGAAATTTTTCACACCACGGTGCAGTAACGATTTTGGTCAATCAGAATACGACCAACGGCTGTCTGAATTTATGCGAAAACTGCCTCCGGTGTCAACTCGAATACAACATCGACAAGTCGCTCTCCCTCGAGAGTTATCTATCTGTTCACATGTTTTCATACGAGTAGATTTGGCACGTAAACCTTTACAACAGCCTCACGAAGGAGCTTTTCACGTGATTTCTCGTCACGAAAAGACCTTCAAAGTTGATTGACATGACCGCGTCGAGGTAGTCAGCATTGTACACCACTGTTAATATATTACTGTTTGTTGTTATGCGTATTTGGGTTGGTGAATAGTTGTTACATTAGTTGCCTAAAAACACGTTTAATATAATTAACATAAAGTCACTACATTGAGATACTATTGTACTGCACTGGTATAATGACTAAACTATCACTTGATTGTTAGTCAGACAAGCTTCTGGAATAAAACATCTCGAGCCTATTATTAAAATTGACACTAAGTAAACTGATATTTCTGGTGTAGCGTTAAATAAATCTCCAAAATAAATAGCTCTGTAAGTTTTCGACTTTGGAGGCTGACCACATTAGTTTTAATGGACTAACCTAGCTGAAGGTGCTCGGTCATGCATCCGCACCAGATCACGTGTGGGAACGCCGTGCTCAATATCTACTGCAATCGCTAGCCAGATTAGTTCAGACGATCCTCGATATATTGGTAGCTTATCAAATATATATTCGAACCTCCTCGCTTCCGTCTTTTGATTTCACTTGGTGGGTGCGCTTCATATTAGAAGGTGTTACTGGTTAAAGCGTTGTCAAACTCCAAATACCTGTGGCATCTTCAGCCTCCTTAGGGTAGCTTATCAAGATTTTAGGGATGTCAACATGTAATCTAGTGTCAACAAGGTGTGCAAGATGAAGTCCATTTCCATTTTTCATCACCTCCAAAGTGTGTTAGTGAAGTAGTGTTCCGAGGTAACACTAAATTCTATGTTAGGGTGTCTAAATATTTCGATTAGATGATGTCATTATAAAGTTAGGAAGAAGTGATGTACTTGTTGCAGGAGCTGCAACGACATTGTGACATTGAGTAGAGAGAAATATAGTCATAGACAACGTCCAAACTCAGAATGATCTTTAGACCATCAAGCAAAGGATCTGTGAATATGGATACGCTGGGTAAGGTGATATGACATTAATACTACCCAACTACATTCTAATAAACCGACCCAAAGACCCATAGAGAAGACGCAAATGACAGTGAGGAGAAATAGCATATTTAACTGAACACAGAGGTACAAGCGCGCGAGACGTGCAAATCTGCTATCTAAAGGGAAAGATGCCTCTCCAATTAGGTTTTGAAGCGATCTAGCTACAGTGCTTGATCAAGCCAATCCAAGTAGCCATGTTCACTGAAACCAACAAAGTCAGTGTTGCATATTAAATAACTTCGAGGGGGGGTTGTTTGCCACTGAACATCTGTCGGAAAATAGTTAACATTGAAAATAAAATTTTAAAAACTGTGAAGTTTTCAACCTTTACTTCATAATGAAGTAGTAAGCATTTTTTTTATCTTTCAGCGCTCAATACATACGAGGCGATAATCGCAATATTTAAATTGTGTTCACGCTTTGTGGGGTTCTCGAGTTTCATATGTACATTCATTCGTCGACATTTTAAACAACAAGACGTTTCTAGACGACCAAGTATAAAGACTAAACCTCATCATGGTAATTCTTCTATTTTAGCTCATATCTTTTCTCAGGAGCATGAAGAGTATGCTCGTGAGCTGGCTGCTCATTACAAAATCAGCCCACAATTGCCTTATCACTCCATCATCGAAGAACTAAAGAATGTGCTTGATTCCAAGCGTTTGGATTTGCAGAAATTATATAAATTGAAAGCTGGAGTTCAAAAGCTCCGAGATGCTGCAGGGAAGAGTGTATCTGCTGTCATGCCTTCAAACAATGACTTCACGAGCGGACCCAATTTCGCTGGGTCCAAAGAAGGTCATACATTGGATCGAAAATCTAGTCGAGTCACTACATCAGCGGTTATTAAAAGTATTAACAGTGATGTTCAGGATCTTGCGGAGGATATATGTGATTTGGAAACGTCACTTCTTTTACTAAAGCACTGTCAACCCAGTTTCGGTAGTTATTGTTATTTGTAATATAGTTTGCAGACCAACAAAGCACTGTAGTAAAGTCGGCCAACCGTAGTGACAGTATTGATCAACGCCTCGCAGAGCTTCAGAAAGCGTTGGATATAGAGCTGCAGGTATTACGATTGGATTTCACTTTGATTTCTGGCGTACTTTAGGTTCGCAGTGGAGCAGAGCGTCTGATCCAAACGTACAAATCAGGTCCTCGTCATTTTCTCGAGGAAGCTAGAAAGCAGTATGAAAATGCTAATAATAAAATCGGATTTATTCGAAATCAGATGATTCGCGTCAAGCAAATGAATGAAGGGTTCTGCCAGGTAAATAATTGCTGTCATGATCTGTGATAATTTGTTTTGAGGCATTACAGAGTAGTAAACAATATACTTGTATATCACCGACTTGTCGACTTACTATGCTTTTCATCAGTTCACAATGTTTCGTTCATATATCATTGTAGCACGGCTTACTTTCCCAATGATCTTGAATAGGAATTCTTTATATTTATTTTGCTCCATTGTAAATAATATAATATTGATTCATCTATCGGCGCTTTAATATAGCTTGTAGTTCGTACAATTTTCAACTGACGTCAGTTATACCATTGGTAGTTAATATATTTATTGCTCAGTCCAGGGGGCATTTGGCCTTAGGTTGTTATAATATGGTGGTAGTTTTTATAAACCTTTTATACATGAACCTCGTAATTGATCTGTATGACTTCTAGTACCTTTGTGAACATCTGTTTCTAGTTTCATATCATGTTGTTTACACTTAGCAATTAATTTTATTGGGCGATTCTGGCCTGACAGTTATGGCCATAGTACTGTGCTAGATTCCGTGAGATTTCGAGACTATTTACTAAATTCAATCATTTAAGGACACCGAACTGAGCAGAACAGCTAGTGGCTGTTATCTAGTGATGCTTGCTTTTGGTTCGCCAGTTTGAGCGACTTGTTTTCAGACTATTATTATGTGATTACTATAAAGCCTTTGAATCGGGCTCATCAAATCAAGGTAGTTGTTCAATTGCGATTTCAAAAATTTCCCAGTTTTTGAGTCTTTGTTGTCACTTATTTTCTTACAGTTCTGAAAACATCTTTTATGTTGACCACCTCTCTCCATTTCATTGACTACAGAAATAAGATTTGAATGTGTGCCACCGTAGACGTGTATATTACTTACTTACTTACTTACGCCTGTTACTCCCAATGGAGCATAGGCCGCCGACCAGCATTCTCCAACCCACTCTGTCCTGGGCCTTCTTTTCAAGTTCCATCCAATTCTTGTTCATTTTTCTCATATCTATCTCCATTTCTCGGCGTAATGTATTCTTTGGTCTTCCTCTCTTCCTTCGACCTTGAGGGTTCCATATGAGGGCTTGTCTTGTGACGCAGTTCGGTGCTTTCCTCAATGTGTGTCCTATCCACTTCCAGCGCTTCTTCCTGATTTCTTCCTCCACTGGGATCTGATTTGTTCTCTCCCACAGTAGGTTGTTGCTAATGGTGTCCGGCCAACGGATCCGAAGTATTTTGCGTAGACAACTGTTAATAAACACCTGTATCTTTTGGACGATGGATTTCGTAGTTCTCCAGGTTTCCGCGCCATACAGTAGAACTGTCTTGACATTTGTATTGAAAATTCTGACTTTGGTGTTGGTTGCTAATTGTTTTGAGTCCCAGATATTCTTCAGTTGTAGATATGCTGCTCTTGCTTTGCCAATCCGTGCCTTCACATCTGCATCAGATCCACCGTGTTCATCGATGATACTGCCCAAATATGTAAAGGTTTTTACATCTTCCAAAGCTTCTCCGTCAATTGTGATTGGATTGGTACATGTTGTGTTGTATCGAAGAATCTTGCTTTTCCCTTTGTGTATATTGAGACCTATTGCCGCTGAGGCTGCAGCTACACTGGTTGTCTTCTCCTGCATTTGTTGTTGTGTGTGCGATAGAAGAGCCAGATCATCTGCGAAGTCTAGATCATCCAATTGCATCCTAGCTATCCACTGTATCCCGTGCTTCCCTTCAGATGTTGATGTCTTCATGATCCAGTCGATCACCAGGAGAAAGAGAAAGGGTGAGAGTAAGCAACCTTGCCTGACACCGGTCTTTACTTCGAACGACTTTGTCAACTGTCCTCCATGAACGATCTTGCAGTTTAATCCATCATAGGAATTCTGTATGATATTGACTATCTTCTGAGGCACGCCGTAGTGTCGAAGAAGCTTCCATAGGGTTGTTCTGTCCACGCTATCAAATGCTTTTTCGTAGTCGATGAAGTTGATATAGAGTGATGAATTCCATTCAATTGATTGTTCCACAATGATCCGTAGAGTTGCGATTTGGTCTGTGCACGATCTATCCTTACGGAATCCTGCCTGTTGGTCTCGAAGTTGGGCGTCTACGGAGTCCTTCATCCTGTTTAACAATACCCTGTTGAAGACTTTTCCCGGTATTGAAAGAAGAGTGATTCCCCTGTAGTTGTCACAGTTGCTGAGATCGCCTTTCTTTGGTATTTTGACTAGAAGTCCTTCTTTCCAGTCTTTTGGTACCTGTTCCTCATCCCAGATCTTTTTGAAGAGAGTTTGGAGTATCCTTGCAGTTGCCGCTACGTCTGCTTTCAGTGCCTCTGCTGGAATGCTGTCTAGTCCTGCTGCTTTGCCACTCTTGATTTGTCTGATAGCCATGCTAATTTCTTCAATTGTCGGTGCGCCAACATCAATTGGGAGGTCCGTGAGTGCTGCTTCGATGTTGGGTGGGTTCAGTGGGGCTGGTCGATTCAAGAGTTCTTTGAAGTGTTCTACCCACCTGTTTCATTGTTCTTCAATGTTGGTGATTATCTTGCCTTCCTTGCTTTTCACTGGTCGTTCTGGTTTACGGTGATTTCCGGAGAGTTTCTTTGTTGTTTCATACAGTTGTCTCATGTTTCCTTCTCTGGCAGCCTTTTCCGCCGTCATTGCCAAATCTTCCACATATTTACGTTTGTCGGTTCTGATGCTCCTTTTCACTTGCTTGTTTACTTCTGTGTATTCAGCTTGTGCCTTGACTTTTTCTGCTCTTGTTCGACTGGTATTGATTGCTACTTTCTTGTTCCTCCTTTCTTGAATCTTATCCAGTGTATCGACCGTGATCCAATCCCTGTGATGGTGCTTCTTTTGGCCCAGAACCTCATGACATGTTGAAGTGATTGCCTCTTTTATCTCTTTCCAGTTGCTCTCCATAGTAGTTCCTTCTCCATTGAGTAGATCATGAAAGGCTTGGAACTTATTGCTGAGGGTTATCTTGAATTTATTGAGTTTGTCATTATCCCGAAGAAGAGCCGTATTAAATTTTTGTGATATTGTCCTCCCCGTTGTCCAGTGCCTCTTGAGTTTCAATTTCATCTTGGCGACCAGCAAGTGATGATCTGATGCTATATCAGCTCCTCTCTTTGTTCTCACGTCCTCCATCGTCCTCCTGAACTTTTTGTTGATGCAGATATGGTCGATTTGGTTCTGTGTGCTGTGATCCGGTGAAGTCCATGTGGTTTTGTGTATGCGTTTATGTGGGAATATAGTCCCGCCTATGACCAGTTTATTGAAGGCACATAGATTTGCAAATCTCTCACCATTTTCGTTCCTTTCTCCCAGTCCGTGTCGTCCCATGATCTCTTCATATCCGGTGTTGTCAATTCCAACCTTGGCATTTAGGTCTCCCATCAGAATAGTCAGGTCTTTTGTTGGGCACTTCTCGACGATTGACTGCAGCCTATCGTAGAATTGATCTTTAGCGTCTTCATTGTAGTCATTGGTAGGCGCGTAGCATTGGATGACGTTCATTGTAATCCCTGTTTTCTTTGTTTTGAAGGAGGCTTTGATGATCCTTGGTCCATGAGATTCCCATCCTATAAGTGCATTTTGTGCTTGTTTGGACAGCATCAATGCAACTCCTTGTGTATGTGGGGCATTTTCTTGTTCATGTCCGGAGTATAACAGCAGCTCCCCTGAAGCTAGTCGTTGTTGTCCAACTTGCGTCCAATGTGTTTCACTGATCCCAAGCACCTCTAAATTGTATCTCCTCATTTCTGCAGCAATTTGGAAAACTCTCCCAGTCTCCCACATTGTGCGAGCATTCCATGTACCTAAATAAATGGTTGCTCTGGTTGTCAGAAGGGGCATCGGCCTCGTGACTTCCGAAGAAACTCGGCTTTCATCATGAGGCGTCATAATTCTTCTAAACGAAGACCTCCTGACTCCCAGGGCAGAGTTTAAATGGTTTGAATAATTTTTTCTGGTTAGCGTTTTTTTAGCGAGTTAGTTTTCTACGGGATGGGGTCGCTAACCCCATGCCCAACCCTCCTCCTTTATCCGGGCTTGGGACCGGCAGTAGCCCCCGGAAAGGGACTCCAGGCGGAGTTAGACGTGTATATAGTCATATGCTAAACTATGCTTTGCATTCAGTATAAGGCATTGGACTTTTGATTAGTTAGTTGAATCTATTTATTCAAACATGTACTGTAATGATTGACAAGATGTATTTGGTTTACTGAGCTTGATCTTTATACTAACTCGAGCCAAAGTTGGAGTCAATTGTTATGAGTATTTTTGAATATAAAAATCTTAATTAAGTTATTCGAAAAGTTGTAATGAGTCAGTGGTACTTAACAGTATACACTCGTGGTTTGATAAAATCCCAAAAGTTATGTAAAGAATGTTTTACATTAGTATTAATTATATCCGGTTTTAAGGGGAATTTAAAACTGTTTCTATTGGTCTTATTTATTTAATTATTTTATTTATTTGAACACATAAATATTGGTACAGGGGGGGCACCAATTATATATGTGCCACGCAAAACAATGAAAATTTGAAGAGAAGGAGAAAAAAAAGTAATGAACGTAGGGAACTATAAAAAAAGGAGAGAACAATAATGGGGGAGACGAAAAGGTACAATTAGGAGAAATCCTTCAGTTAGGAAAGGAGCAACCACTTTTTATGAAGAAAGTAAAAGAAGGTTACAGCACGATCGCCACTGGCTTCTATTCTGAGCCATATCTGATAACGTCTCTAGCCACTGTGTTACACCATCTCTCGGACCCCAGCCAGGGAGTCGTGAAGGACCAACACAAGCCAGCCCTTTGCAGCTTTCTTTCATACCACGACACCATGTCATATACTGACCACCTCTCCGCTTTTTCCAACCAGTCCCAGGGTCGGCAAATAGTGCACGACGTGGAATTCTCTAGTACGACATTCGTAGAACATGTCCAAGCCACCGATGGTGACACCAATTGCATTAACGTCTCTGCTCCCGAACACACGATGCCGAACCTCTGCATTACTAACATGATGTTACTGCATGTCAGAAATCCTGCGGAGACAACGATGATCAAACACAGAGAGTCGTCTACCATCCTCAACTGAAGAGGCTAGGTTTCACAAGCATAGAGCAAAAGTGCTCTCACCGACGCGTTGTAGATCCGACCTTTTACAACCAGACTAACATCACGAAGGCGTCAAAGATGGCCCAGATTGGCATAAGCATCTCTAGCTTTCACTACACGTTCATTGATCTCATCACTCACGTGACCACCGGCACTTGTACTACTATCCAGATACACGAACTTCTCGACTACTTCTATCTACTCACCGTCCAGAGTGAGTACATGATTAGAATCCTGCCAGTCTTGTAGAAGTACTTTGCACTTCGAAGGTGCGAAGCACATACCATACCTACGGACATTGATTGCCAACTGATTAAGTGCGGATTGCATGGCTTGGGCATTATCGCACAGTAAGACAATATCATCCGCATACTCAAGGTCGAGAAGTCTTTCTCCAGGCAACAGATCCACACCACCATTACTTACATCCATCAGAGCTGTTTCCAGAATGTCATCGATGGCAAAGTTGAAGAGGAATGGTGAGATTGGGCAACCCTGCCTAACCCCACTGCTCGAATGGAATAGTGGATAAAGGTGGTTGTATACCCTCACTCTGCCTGAGGTGTTTGTGTATAGGGCTTTTAGGATGTTAATAAACTTCTCAGGCACACCCTTCTTCAATAGACAATCCCAGAGAACAGTCTTGTCCAACGAATCGAAGGCAGCCCTGATATCAAGAAACACTACTATTGTTGGCCTTTGATAAGTGTTCTAACACTTGGCGGAGTGTGAAGATATAATCAATACATCCTTGACCAGAACGAAATCCAGCCTGCTTCTCGCGAGTCAATCCTTCTCGGGTTTTGAACAACCTACGAATTATAACGGAAGCCAACAGCTTGGACGCAGTCGGAAGTAGACTTATCCCCGATAGTTGTTACAGGAACGACGTGAATCATTTTTAAAGATAGGGACAACTATCGACTCATTCCATGACGTTGGTACACTCTCTAGTTCCTAGACCTTTGTAAACAACGTCGTCAGTCCCTTAGTCAGAAAGTCACCACCATCTTTAAAAAGAGCCGGAGGTAAGTCGTCTGGGCCCGGTGATTTGTAACGTTCCAAGAGTTGGAGTTCCTTGCGGACTTCCGCCTCATTTGGTGGATCAGTCGTCACCGGCCATGGAGGGCAGGACAGTCTGACCGATGTTTCCGGAGCAGCAGGCCAGTTGAACTGCCCTTCGAAAAATTCTGCCCATCGTCCAAGACGTCGATGGATGTTAGTGATTGGCGTTCCGTCATCCTCGCAGATTGTTTCGCTCACACCAAACTTCTTGCTGCCAGTGGCTCGGATGAGTTGGAAGAGCTTCCGGTATTTACCAGATGCAGCTGCTGCTTCCAGCTCATTAGCACGCTCCGACCACCAGGCTTCACGGTCCTTACGCAAGCTTTGCCCGATTTCATTACGTAACATCCTTCGTCTGTGGTCAAACTCACGGTCACCCGGAGTAGACCGACGGGCTTCAATCAGTTGTAAGGAACCAGAAGAAACCCAGTGCTTGTAAGCGGGACGTTTCGCGAACCCACAACAGACTGTACCCTCCATTTTCATGGCGTCATGCAATTGCAACCAATGCTCATCTATACTTTTCGGTCGAATGGTAGCTAGCCTAGAAGCTAGCTCTGTTCGGTACTTACTAGCAACAGAAGTTGCAGCCAGCTTGCTAACATCAATCCTTTGGTGGCGGTCACTTCGTTGTCCACTGAAAAGTAAGGTAAGATTGGCGCAGACCAGAGCATGATCAGATTCCATATAGGTACTCCAAAAGGAGTGGCAGTCTTGTACACAACCACGGCAGCGGTAGCTGATCGCGATGTGATCAATCTGTATCCAGGCTTGAGATGTAGAAGGGGGACGCCGGGTGGCACATCGGCAATGACTCTGATGGTACTTTCTAATCTAACAGCACATAACCGACTGTTAATGGGGATCCAGTCGACTAGTGCTGCCTCAGCTCTAGCGCTTAGTGCGACACCAACGCCAGCAAGACCAGACGAAGATGCCACAAGGTCCCCGGATAAACGCACATAAAACTAGCTTTTTGAAGCGACAGATGGAGAGCGAATTTGTAGTACTTCACCAGAGTCTTGAATACGGGTCTCGGATAGACAACAAACGTCGATATTAAGACTTTCCAAAGACATAGCTAACCCTATCTGTTGTCCGACCTGCATAAGTGTGCGAACGTTGAAGGCAGCCAGTTTGAATGGTGCACGTGGTTTCAGAAAAACTGCTTCAGTACTCGTATTCGGTGGTAAAATACAATTTTCAACCAGGCAGTGACTCGAGAACGTTTAGATAAAGCTGAATTTTCACCATAGGTGAGCTGCTGCCTAGGTCGAAACGGATACATAAAGTAGGAATAAAAGAGGGTGAATAAATGACGTGGTAAAATAATAATAATAATAATAATAATAATAATAATAATAATAATAATAATAATACGAGTCATTTCAATGTTAATTAGAGAGAAAGGAACATTTTTCATAAGCAAATAGTTCATCATGATTTTAGTGCGTGGGCTGAGATACTACCCGTGTGCCCAAACCGAAGCAGGTGGTTTTCTTAGGGGGCCACACCCCGAGCCTTTGACCTAAAGGTCTAGTCGACAAGGCAGTGGAGCATCGTGAGGAGATGCAGTCCCATGGAAGTCGGTAACCAAAAGTTAGTTCATACGCCATTTGTTCCCGCAGGATACTGGAGCCCATGTGCACAATTGAATTGGGATCCGGTTTTAGCGCCGGACATTCGCTTTTCGTCCTCTCATTTTCGTAAAAAACACCCCCGCCATGAGAAGGCAGTGAGTAGGACTTATTTATTTATTTATGGCTTTATTCAATATTATATTTTGGTACAATATAGAATTCCCTGGCAGAGGCTGTATACGCATGGCCGTGTGAAAGTATTTCGAGAGGGAGGGCGAACCCTCCCCGCTCTCGGCCATACCAGGGCATTTGGGGGCTCTATTGGTTTTAGGCGTGAATATATTTTAGTTCTGATCTAATTTTAATTCTGTGTATGTATTTTCATGGTTTTGGTAGTCATGAGACATTTAAGTTATTTCGAATCTACCATTCTATCCTATATTCTATTATAAAGTTTTACAGTAAATTTATCAAATTTTAGTCTTAGCGATTCACTACTACTTCATCTTCCGTTATCATCGTTGACTATTTGTGTTCTCACTGCAAATATATGTAACCTATTGGTTTCCAATTTTCATCCAGACAGATACTTCGTCCCTTGGATCTGATACAGCTAAAGCAAATGGCTCCATAAACACAGCCTCTTCTGTTTCCAATCATCAAGAGAGTTTTCTTATATGGAAAGATAAAGTAATGGAATTAGCCCACCGTTTGCGAGTTGAAAGAGCTTTATTTGTGGGGAGTAAAAAAGCTGTCAGTGCCGTTCTAGACAACCAAATTCATGTGGACAAATCTAGAAAGTTGCAGGTAAGGTTTTTCTCGTGCATACTTCCGGCCATCAATGTATTTAGACTATTAACGACTGTTATAGCTAAGATAAAGACGTCATCTTATTTTTGACATGTCCCAATACACTCCTTTCTGGGTAACTACGGAATGTATGACAATATAATTCTGTCGTAGTTTATTTACATACCAGAGATACAGTGTCATCTGTTGAATGATCAAAATCTGTGTATAAATTATTTCATTTAAACATAAACAGGTGCACAAGGAAGGGGGCACCGAAATATTTACTCACTGCACAAAAATAAGGTTGTGAAGAGATGGAAAAAAGAAATTGGTGTGAGTGAAGCAATAGTAATAAAGTGGATGAAATAGTTGAGATCCAACTGAAGAAAACAGAAAGAGAAACATAAATGAATTGAGAATTGCAAGAATTATGAAGGATGTGAAGGACAGTTGATGGAAGATTTGCAAATGAAGTATTTGATGTGTGGTTTTCATATTTTACGAAAGAACTCTGCAATTTGTATCAAACAATAAATTGGTTATCCTCATCTGGGTTTGCTTTCACTATAGACTTATCCCCCAATAGTTGTCGCATAAGTGACGTGAACCCTTTTTAAAGATAGGGACAACTATGGACTCATTCCACTATGTTGGAATACTCTCTTATTGCCATACATTTGTGAACAACTCAGTCAATTCCTTAACCAGAAGGCTGCCACCATCTTTAGGAAGAGTCGGTGGTAAGTCATCAAGCAATTTGTGTCGCTTCGAGGGTTGGAGCTCCTTGCGGACTTCCTCCTCGTTTGGTGGGTCGGTCATTACTGGTCATGTAGGACAGGACTATTGATTTTCAAAGGTGTCAGCAGATGCTATTGGTCCGCATTCCATCAGCTTCACAGATTGCTTCACTCACACCAGACATCTTGCTGCCAATTACTTGGCTGAGTTGGAAGAGCTTCCCGCAACTATCAGGTGCAATTGCTGCTTCCAGCTCGATAGCACGCTCCCATCACCAGGCTTCTCAATCTTTACTCAAACTCTGCATGGTTTCACTACGTAACAACTTTCGTTTATCGTCAAACTCGTAATTACCCTAAATAGACCAAAGTGCTTCTACGAGTTGTAGGGATCCTATAGAATGCAAGAGCTTATAAGCGGGACGTTTCGCGAAATGGCTAGCGGCTTTACTCGTCATTTTCATGGCTTATACGTAGTTTAGTGACAACAAAACTTATGAATACTGTAGTACAGCAGTCCTTTACGAATCTGTTAATCATTGTTTAGTATGTAAAGTGAATTGGTCGCCATTGAATATTCTTATTTTTCATTATGCTAATTTGTTTTGCTGTATTTGCACATGTAGTGTTCAATGATGAGTAGAATAGATCTGTCATTGCACCATGCCACTGCGATTGGCTTAGATAATTGTAAAGAATATGTCTGGTGCATCATATTTGTTCCACTATGTTTCGTCACACTATGTGTTGCTGTTGAATACTTACTCAGCCTTGAGCCTAATTTTGAACATGCAGCGTAGCTTATTTATATCTTCAGGTTCAATACGCTACCGTTTATACTTCCTCTTTGTTGTTTGTATCCCATAGTAATAAGGAATAACTAAACGTGATGATACAATATGTCATTAGTACTTAGTGAAGTGATGGGTTTTCAGTTTAACTAACCAATGACTAATACTAATTTGATCTAATTAGTATTTCTGCCACAGTATGTCGTATTTCTTAGCGGTAACATATTTCTGATACTTAAACATCACTATCTATTATATAAGAAATGTATCGGTTAATAATTTCTTCGGTGTACATGTTTAATGACTGTTCACTGGGTAATAGTGGTTTCGCTTATACTCCGGTAGTCGAAAATGGTGTGAAATGGAAAGAATCTATGATCTACAGGTGTATGATGACTCTATGAGTCGAAGTGTATGTGCTTGAAGTAGTAACTAGGATTCAATGACCAATAAGTGTATCATAGAAAGCAAAATAACATCGTTTTAAAGCAATATAGAAGAGGAAATCGCAAAACAATTAGATCAAAACATTGACCAACACAGTCAATATAACGAGTATAAATTTCGCTTGTTGTAAAATATATCTTACTGTATATACAGAAAGCAAACTAAAAGTACGGAAGGATCCTCAGTGACTTTAAGTTTGAAGTGATAGTTAGTAATACTACAAATCACTGAGTTTTGTAGTCTCTAAAGCCGCAAACATAATCCTATTGACCCAAGAAGTGTCAATATAACATAACTCCGCTACTACGCAAGGTTGTTTCATGAGCTAAGTTGTTTATCAAGTAATGTTTTTAATTTGTATATTACTCCACAATAAAATGATGCTACTCGGTTACTTGGAGTTAATTATTCTATCTTGAAGTAACAGCTTTACAGCATTATCAAATACCTGGTTCAGAGCTATCTGTGGGATTTCATCAAGAATAAAGTTGAAGGGAAATTGTTTAATCAAGCAATCATGTCTTTTTCTGTCGTATGCAATAACACTTCTTAAGGCGCTTTGATATTTTGTGATCATTGCATAATCTCAAAGTTAGACAAAATCCTGTAGATAATTCCACAATCCAATTTAATGAATCAAAAACATCATTAATGTCTTAGAGTTTTGTATGAATGATGGTGTTCAGAGTTGTAATGTGGAAATATGATCATTAGATACAAAACCGGATTGAAATTCATCTAGGCCCTTTGGTTAGTTTCCACGTACATGACCGTTGTTGCTACGTTGACGTGGTGGTCGGGCTTGCCTATCGTGATGAAGCAACTGAGCTATACTGGCTGGAACAACCGTCCCTCAAGGTCCTACCATGCCAGACAGGTCGGTTGAAGAGCGATAAGACTAAAAGCAACAAAACCAAGGTCCGAAGGCGAAGTCGTACTGCTGACCGTACAGAGGTGTGACAGCAGTAAGGTGTTTCCTTCAGACAACCAGCATAACAGCGATGCTGCCTTCCCAAAAGAAGGGGTGGGGTTAGAAAAGGTCGACCCTAAAAATGCACACCTCACCTTATCCCACGGATATCCGTCTCCGGCGGTAAGGTCTCAACAATTACGGAGCTAACACAAAAATTACTCATAAAAAGGTCGTGTGTGACCGACCTCAAGCAGCTGTCCCTTGGGCACTGCGGTCACGCTCTCAGGTCACTAAGACCACCTCTAATCCAATTTCCTTTTCAGGTAACTCCAGCAGAACCCTTCCACGGTGTGGGCAACCGGGAAGTGATAACCGCCCTCATACCTCTAACAGCACTCAAGACCACTGTATTCATAATCAACCTACCTCTTCAATTCCTATTATTCCTCTTACATCGACTTTCAAATCTTAACTCCCTCTTTCGGCTTCCTCCTCAAGTGTCACCACAGCCAACGATTCTAGTGCGCAAAACACTGTCCCAGGTCTACTGAAACCTCGCTCCAAACTACACATCGGAGCCTTCAATGTACGCACACTATGCCAAACCGATCAGCAGGCTTCCTTGGCTAAAACCTTAGAATCTCGTACCATTGATGTATGCTGTGTCTCCGAAACACGCATACAGGATCCTAGCGTGGTCATTCACTTGACCTCACCTCGGCAAAACGGAGAGCCAACAAGATACACCCTCCGTGTATCTGGCGACCCGATGGCTAGTTCTCGTGGACTGGCAGGTGCAGGCATAGCACTAAGCATGAGGGCGGAACAAGCGCTATTAGAGTGGATCCCCGTTAATAGTCGTCTATGCGCTGTTCGGCTAAACGGCTCCGTAAGAACTCGAAAGGATAGGGACACACGTCGTTGCCTTTTCGTCGTTTCTGCCTACGCTCCCACTGACTGCAGTTCGGATGAAGTGAAAGATGAATTTTACAGAAAGCTGTCTGAACTTCTTCAGAAAGCTAAACTTTCAGACATAGTACTCATAGCAGGTGACTTTAATGCCCAGGTAGGCAGCTTAAGCGAAACAGAAAGACATTTAGGTGGGTATTTTAGTATTCCGGCACAGAGAACAGATAATGGTGATCGTCTGCTGCAACTGTGCTCAGACAACCGTTTATTTTTAGCAAACACAAATTTTAAGCATAAGGAGAGACATCGTCTAACATGGCGACCCCCTGCACCAAACCAACGATGGACTCAAATAGACCATATTGCCATCAGTCATCGTTGGAGAGGGTCAATAGAAAATTGTCGCTCATTCTGGAGTACCTGCTTGGACTCCGACCATGCCCTAATACGAGCACGCATCTGCTTGCGCCTCACTGGACGCAAAAAAGCCACACAAAAAGACTCATTAGAACCGAATTGAGTAATGAGAAAACCAAAAGTAGGTCCCAGGAACAACTGAGGTCACACTTAGGTAGTTCTGAAAACTAGGCTGACCCCGATGTTGCTTGGAAAGACATACAAGCAGCTGTGAAAACAGCAGTGACATCTACTAGTGAATTAAACCACAGGGTTACAAAGAACTAATGGATTTCTTCAAGGTCTATTGCACTGATAGATTCTCGCAAACTCATCGCATCAGGTTCTGAACACGATGAAGAGCGTAAAGAAATCAGATCTAGGTTAAGCAAAAGTCTAAGGAACGATCGTGAGCAGTGGTGGGCAACGAAAGCAAAAGAGATGGAAAAGGCAGCGGTTATAGGTAACACCAGACAACTCTTCAGACTGGAACTAAAATATCAAGTGTAAGTGAGACTATCTCGGAAAGAGACGGCACTTTCACCTGCTCCTAGCCCAGACGTTTAGAACGATGGGCGGAACATTTTAAGGAGCAGTTCAGTTGGCCTTCAGCTACTCTACAACTACCCTCTATTCCCAGACAGTATGAATGGAACATTGAAGTAGGTCCCCCAACTCTAGCTGAAGTTCAAAAGGCTATAGCTAATCTGAAACGAAGAAGGGCAGCTGGTCCAGATGGATTGGCCCCAGAGGTCTTTAAGGATGGTGGTCTAGTTTTAGCGATTAGGTTGACTAATATTTTAGCTAAAATCTGGGAGTTAGACGTCAACTCATCTAACTGGTCACAATCACTTATCGTCCCAATATTTAAGAAAGGGTCAAAATCATCCTGTGACAACCACAGAGGGATTAGTTTAACTAATATAATATCTAAAATACTAGTTTCGATAATTTTCGGACGCCTAACTAAGACTCGTGAACTGCAAACACGTGAAAATCAGGCTGGCTTCAGACCTAGTCGTGGCTGCATCGACCACGTATTCACCATTCGTCGGGTTCTAGAACACAGGCATACTTATCGGCGTCCGACAATAGTGGTCTTCTTGATTTAAAAGCAGCGTTTGAATCTGTTGACCGAGAGGTTCTGTGGCGGTGTCTGTCATTGAAAGGCGTACCTCAGAAGTACATAAACCTTGTGAAGGCTCTTTACTCGAACACTACTAGTCGAGTGAGAGCTTATGGCGAACTGTCATCTGCTTTCGCAACCTCATGTGGCGTCCGTCAAGGCTGTCCACTTTCTCCATTTTTGTTCAACTTCATCATAGATCTACTGATGGGAATAACGCTCTCATCGACTGAATTCTCGGGTATTGATCTCCTTTCAGGAGGTCCACTTATTGATTTAGAATACGCAGATGACATAGTCCTGTTTGGTGAAGACGCTGATGAATTGCAGAGTCTTTTGGTAGCACTGAGCAACAATGCCAGAATGTTTGGGATGCGCTTCTCTCCCTCTAAATGCAAGTTGTTGCTTCAGGACTGGTCTGCGTCAACACCTGAACTAAGGATAAGAAGTGCAGTAATCGAACGCGTTGACAACTCCACTTATCTTGGAAGTCTGATCAGCCCTAATGGGTTGGTGTGTGACGAAATCTCAGCACGGATTCGAAAAGCTCGTTTGGCCTTTGCCAACTTACGTCATCTATGGCGAAGGCGAGATATCCGTCTATCAATTAAGGGATGAGTATACTGCGCGGCAGTTCGTTCCGTTCTACTATACGGCTGCGAAACATGGCCATTAAGAGTAGAAGATATTCGTAAGTTACTAGTATTTGACCACAGGTGCTTAAACTTGTGATCTAATGGTTGAATATCAGGTACTCAGACTATTGTGACACTAAACAACATGTACTATCCTGCTTTCCAAGCATATATGAAGGGGAAACTCTTTCAGTCCGTAACTGGAGATTTACAAATTGATTTCCTAGAGCATTTGATAGAGTTTTATTCTTTTTTAAATCCAAATCTCAGTAATATGTTAATATATATCAGTTCGGCAATTTATTATCTTTCTACAGGCGTTACAAGAGGCTCGTGAATCTCTTCATAGACTTTATTTATTTCAAGAATCAATCAAACCGCTTTTAAAGAGACCGCCACCAACACACTTTCCCGAGATGATTTCTTCTATTGTCGATGACCCTGAAATGACTGTACTTTTATCCTCGCCCTGGAGTAATACTACTGTATTTCATGGCAATAGCTCATTGTTAATTCCCAGTCCACCAACTGCGATCACTGGAAGTTTGGAGGTTCGTTGCTTAGGTTGTCAGGATATCGTTGATCATTTTCCAGCTGAGATTGTAAATAATGAACTTTCTGGCACATCAACATCTCGAGTTTACTCTGTCCCATCAGTTATGACATCTCGCACATCTGAGAATCACTGGGGTAGGTTATTCATAAACTGATTTTCGATATTTTACCTCTAAAGGTCTCTCTGGATGTTTTTCAGTCAGTCTATCTGTTATACCCGACAGTAACAGCGCTAGTTTGGGTTTTACTCATTCACTTATGGAAAGAGGAGTTTAATTTAGGTTTTGGAATCTATGGGGAGTTTAATCCTTTCTTTGAAGCAATGACTTGACCTTCAACCATTAGGTTGTAGTTTTGTGATACTTCACTTGATTCCGTTCACACAGCCGGATCGTATCACTAGACCTAACCTTGTGTTGCTATGATTCGAGTGCTTATGGTTGTACATGATGAGTTAATCACTTCTAAATTTCATATAGTCCTTGTAATGCACTAGTGCTGACATTCAGGGTCTTGATTCTCAAATGTACAATCAACAATCCTTGATTCAGATAATCTTCACGGTTCTACCGATTTGTTAATTTCAATAGTTTAGCTTGGTGTCATGTACTAGATCAGTCAATTTTTATGGAACACAATTAATTTTATAGGACATCAGTTCTTTTCCAAAGATGTCAGTTCTTATTCGTGAATTCTACAAATGTCTTGGTGCACATGGGCTCCAGTATCCTGATGGAACAAATGGCGTATGAACCAATCGTTGGTCACCGGCTACCATGGGGTTGCATCTCCTCACGATGCTCCACTGCCTTGTGGATCAGATCTTCAGGTCAAAGGCTCGGGGTGTGGCCCCCTAAGAAAACCACCTGCTTCGGTTTGGGCACCCGAGCAGTATCACAGCCCTCACACAAATCAAATGAGATCTGTGTGGCGCATATGTATTTGGTGCCTCCTTGTACCAATATCTATGTGTTAAAATAAATAAATAAATAAATAAACTTGGTATATCAGAATTTTTGTTTGTTTTGTGTTGTCGATTCAACATCGCCATACAACATTTTAGAACAGTAGCAAATTTGTTTTGTTATCTATAAAAATTATGAGGTAGATAGCCATAATCTAACAAGATAGAAACCATAGGTTCAGAAATAATTAAAAACTGTTGACATATTGTTTACTAACCCTGTTAACAATCTCAGGTGGTGCATCATTTCGCTGCTTCATTTATTTGGCTATGTATATACACCCTTCTGCATTTCATGCTTGTTAAAACTTTCATTTTTGTTTAAAGTGGATGTTCGATGCTCTTTATTGATTGATCATAAACGTGTATGGGATTCACCTTGGCGGCAACCTAATCAGCAGTGTTGGGACTCAAAGACTACATTTAATATCGATCGTGGCAAAGAACTGGAAGTTCAAGTATATTGGAAGCGTACGTTTCTTCCAAGCTCTGTTACCACTCCTTCAGGATCCTCTGCTTCATCCAAAAGTGGTTCGTCTGAGGATTCTGGTTCTGGATTAGAGTGGGTTTTAGCAGCCGTAAAGTATGTCATTCATTTTTATTAAAGTTTGATATATCTTTGAATTTTTCTACTGGTCAAATAAAATTGTTTTCAAATTTCATTCTAGTTATGTGCGCCTTGAAGAACTACTTGGTGGCGAATCACGTTCTGTTATGCTTCCTATGTTACCAACGGGGAAAGTTTTCCTTGTCCTTAAATTCTCTGATCCTCTTCTTTCGAAACCTCGATGCGGCTTACATCGCCAGAAACGCTTATTTTCCAAGCGCAAAGGTATGGTGTTTGATAAGGTTCGATTCTAAAGGTTTTAACTTTGGTTCGCTAGATTTATTGTTGTTCTTTGAGTCGAACACCCTAGAATAATTTTATGGCTTATTAAAATAGATATATGCTTTTGAGTCACCAGGTCTTCGACTCTTTTAACGACAAATATTTGGAACTAGGTTTTTTAGCTGATAAGTACATTCTGATATATGCATTAAACAAAATTGATACAATCAGTAAAGTGGAACAATTTTTAATTCATGACCCAGTCGTAAGTCTTTTGAGAAAACTATTAACGTCTTCTAAGCGATCCTAAAGACCGGATCGATTGCTGTACGTCAATAAACGATCTTGTTTCAGTGACATTTTAAAATGGCTCAACCCATATATCTTGTAAACTTTCTAAATACCTTATTTATGTTCGATGCTTGGAATGAAAATTAATTGATCCTCTCCCTATATATTTACATATACCCCACAACTTAAAGGAAGCTTACTCCTTTTGGATTCCTTGCTTAATCGACCTACTGTAGCTCATGAAGAATGTTTTTTTCTAGTGATTACTGTTTTATAATACGTCATTTCTGCTTTAATCTCGAAGATAAGGACTGGATAGTTTAACTAATCAATTTTCTAACGACTAGGTCACATTTAAACTTTTTCCTACTTTCTCACTGATACAGAAATGACATCATTGACATACATTACACATAGAGGAACTTGTTCTTGATTCTTTAATTGCTAGTAATTTTGCGCTGAATTTATTTTTTCTGAGCGAAGTGGCAACTATAATCAAATCGATTTGCTATCACCTGTTACTGACATGTTCTAAAGTCAATTTATCCGTTTTAAAAACGATTAGATTTTACTTTTCCGTGTCCATTTGCTCATACTGATTAAATATTCCATGAATGTTAATCTAGATTCGACGATAAGGGTAGATTTTGATGCCCACTATTTGATTTTTTTGAATCATATTTTCATACGTCGACTGTGAACTAGCTATGTATATATCTGTATCAATGTGTCTTAACATCCATAAACACTTATGTGGATTCTTTTTCCTTATGAGTCATTTATAGTAATTCTCTCTTATCATAGCTATAATTGTATATTTTATTGGTTAACTAATGAATAACCTTTATATATTTCATAAGTGTTTTGTAACTGATAGTTAATTCGGTATACATTTTTATCTTATAGTCATGTTTATTATTTTATATTTTTAATGTGAAGGAAACAATATTCCTCGTATTAATGAACTTGATATGAATATACCCTTATGGACTCGTTTGCTTAAAAGCGGTCAATTATCTAAAATGAATCGTTCTGTTGTTAGTGGTTCATGGACACTTAATCATTCAAAAGAATTTGGATCTTCAGGATCTGTAATGCTGCATGGTCTAGAGGGTCGCTTCCAACAGCTTAATACTTCTCTTAGTGGTTCACCAGTTTCTGCTCAGGTGAATTTTACTATTATTTTATTTACATATGATTTGAACATGTCAATGATATTAATCACCCAATTTCAAAAAAATAAAGGGCATATAAATCAGCTTAACCAATAAGGCCTTGGAAGTTATACTCATTTGTCTTAACTAAGTTATTAATGTGCTATTATGACAACCAGATTTAGATACTTTGTGTTTTTATAGTTGACTAATTCTCATAGAACGATGGACTATGTTGTAAGCTATTTCTAGATCCTTTCTATTGTACAATGTTTCGTTTTACAACTCAAAGCTTAGTACAATAAACACTGAAACGCACTCTGATGTTTTTCATCATGAATATTTGACCGATTCAGGTACTTTATATGAGGAATTATAATACTTACAACTCTTCCTTATTCAGAGGTAGTTAACTCGACCCGATAAATGTCACCTCGGGTGTTAACCTTTGACCCACCGGAGAATTTCATTCTTCAGCACCAATCACTCGTAGAGTCGTACTTCCGCTGAGTCATTAGTTAACCTTGATTGTCATGTGAATTTGGGAAATCCTTTCTAATCTTTTTGGATGTGTCATGTGCTACGTTAGAATGAAATAAAAAAGATTTCTAGAGGCATAAAAATGAGAAAATTCGTATTACTGATTATAATAGATTATATAGTGAAATTTTAGATTAAAAATGACAGCACAATCGTCACTTGGTTTTATTCTGAGTCTTGTCTGAAAACTGACTGACTTTTCCAACACTTGGTCTTGTAGTGTCAGGTGATTCCATCCAAAGTCACGGTGAGTCTAAAGATCTTAAGCCAGTTTATTAATACTTATTATGGAGCCAGATGTGAGTTAATATAAATTACCGAAGCTAATATAAAAGCGTTTCTAAATATTGTGAATTACTTCCTAATTATCATAGTTCGGTACATTCCATGGGACAGGTTATGCTTGATAGGACAAATAATTATTAAAGTCATTGATTATTTTAAGTTTGTTCCTTCTCCATCGGCTAATGACTTCGTTTACTTTAGTATCTGCGTTTTTGTTGATTTCCTCTTGAGCTATGCAAAAGTGTGTTGATTTAAATTAACGAAGGTTTGCATGAGATCTCATGATATTCTGTTTGTTTTTCCAATTACTAATTTCCTATTATCCATTAACAGAGAACATACTTAACTAGGAATTTTAAAAGAAATTGACTTTACTGTATTTCGGCATAAAATTTAACCATAAGACTCACCTGCTCGTGAAACTGTGTTATTTGTTCGTTGGTTTACATCATGAATCATTTTAAGTGGAGTTTTTCACTTCCTTGTTAATTCCACTTCGAATAATAAATAGGATGAACAAAATCCCGTAATTATCGATATGGTTTAAATACGTTTTTAAACCCACCGACTTATCCGTACTGTTATGGACAGCTCTACCTTTCTGCGTAGTGTTTTAATTTACACATAATTATAAATCTTTTGTTCTGTAAATACTTGGAACCCTATTGTATAGACTTTGATTCTTGTCTCCCATACCTATATAGATAAAGTTGCTAAATTTGCTAATTTCTGCTTTATATTGCCTAGCTATTTTAATTTTGAGTCACTGTTATATCATATTTTTATCATGGCGTTGTGAACCAATTTTTTTTCCTTCAACATCAGTTTCATAGCCTACTCTGCATGATTCTTAGCATGGGATAAATGTATATTGCTCACTGTTCAAGTAGGAAAAACTATATATTTTGTCTTTATTTTTGTACTATAATGATGTTCCACTTGGAGAATGCTTTTATCACAGAAAATCACTTCATACTGAAAATTGGTGAAGATCACTGAGATTTCCAATGATCAGATGATATTGATGATCAAACATTGGTGTATAGATTATTGCTTATTTTTATTGTTTATGATTATTAAGGTGACCAATCTTTTCCTTAGTCTTTTAGGTTTTTATTATTTTGAATTTGCTTGCATATATGTAGGCTTTTAATGGCAAATCTCATTTAAATACTTCTAAATATCAAGAATCGCCATCTGCTTTCCCCACCAGATCAGTCAATATCACTGATACGGTTATTCAACAACGTCCATTAGTTTCCATTATTCGTGAATCAGATGCTTTACGGGAAAAAAAGATTACATTAACTGAAAAGGAAATAAAAACCCTACGTAAAAAAGTGAGTGATTTGGGAATTTTTCAACCCCTGTTATACCAATTGCTGGGTCACGATAAAAAGATCGATGAGGCAGCTAAAACTCAATGCGAAAGCTTTTTTGTTTTTAAATTTTCTTGACATTAATTTGCAAATTCGCATGGCATAATAATAACCCGAACAAAGTTGCATATGTTTATTTTTTATCATATACTGGTGTTGAGTGATATCATTCTGATCCGAATTTTCTTTTAACTTTTCACACAGTTGGATTGCTGCTTTGGTGGTCCTTAGACTACTGTTTCTTGTGTATCCCTCTTTTTATACCTTATTTCTAATCTACATTAATAATCATAACTGGTATTACTTTTGAAAATTGGATTTATTAAACTTTGATTAAGATATTTTATAAAATGTTCGAATATTTTTTGATTCATTTAGTCTCTTTTGACTGATGACATCAATGAGTATTCATCAACACCCCATCATCATGCACCCGCTACTGGAATCGGCTCTTCATTTTCGCCGGACTACGATGTTGCGCCAGTTATCATCGAATATGACATGGATAGTAGCTCCCGCAAACCTCCTACTCCGTCCCGTGTTTCTGACTACGCCAATCCGGAAGACCTTGGTGCTACGGAAATGATATCTATAGGTCAGGACGCCGATTATCGTACTGCGGACTATATTAATATGGATGTGCAACGATCTAATTCTGGTCCCGTTGTATTGTCAACCGAAAAAGAAAATAAAGATGTTCCTACTGCAGAGTCTCCGCGTACTGCAGCATCCAAAATTTTTAGTGAATGTAAGTTTTGTACATTATCTGGCTTTGTTTGGGATAATCTGATTGGAAAATGTTCCCGTCGTATTCTAGCTGTGTTTATAACTAGGTTCATTTTTAGTGTTCCCAAGTTTTCTATTGATTTTTATGAGTAATAATCAAGAAACATATCAAACTTAAAGGTTACTTTTAGAGGCTATGTATTCTGTTGGTTAGGTTGGTGGTATTTACAACAACTAACTTAGTAACAGAAACGACGTAATTGTGTGATCCAGATGAAATATCTTGTAATTCTCTTCAGTGAGTAGATAATCTACAAACAAACCATCTATTTTTCGGTTTATTTGGAATTGTCAAGCCAGGTCTTGTGATTAAGGATAACATACAAATCTCAATTACTTTTGTATTCCAAACACATATTTCATTACTTGTTTGCTTCCAAATTTGACTTCTAAGTTAGTGAATAGTAGAAAGTGATTAGATACCCGACCACAGTTTGCTTGAAACATTAGTTAGGATTTCCACCTTATAGTTATTGCTCACTTTAAATTATACTTAAGCTGTTTGCTGTGCATAGCACAATCACCATCGGTTTACATGGTCTTCTAATAATGTTATACATTCAATTCAATATTCACTGCACATATTAATAAGTTTACATTCGTTCCTTTATTGCTTCTTCCATATCCTCAAGATTTCTACCGCTAATTTAATTGTTTTTGATTGTCTTTGAATCATAGTGTCATCAAACAAATCCACAACAACACTCAGCATGATTGATTTCCGCACTGTGGCTGTTCTTGGGCGTGGTCATTTTGGCAAAGTATTGCTATCTCAATACCACCGAGATAATAAGTACTATGCTATAAAATCTTTAAAGAAGGCGGAGATAATCTTTCGTAATGAGGTCGATACATTACTAACAGAAAAACGCATTTTGCAAATCATTACCGATGCACAACATCCTTTCCTCATAAACTTAATTGCCTGCTTCCAGACAAAGGTAAGCCCTATTTTTCATTTATATTTCAGTTAGTCTTAACCATAGCCCATGTAGAATCTTGTACAAATATGTATCCCTTCAGGTTGTCACACCACATGAGGGCAGCCTGCTTAAATACTTGGGTTACCTGTTACCGCCATCTGGATATTTCAACAAGTTATCTGTTTGTTTTTTGCTTTAACACATCATTATGCCTATCAGTCTCATAACCTATTAAGATGCGTTTGTGAAAAGTTTACTACTTTTCACTGTACAACTTACAAAAGAGCCTAATCAGAGACATCGCGGTTGCTGAAAATGTGTATCGAAAAGAATACACATTATTCAGATGCCGATTCCTGAACTGCTAACATTTAACTGGCGGCCACTCAATATTTATAGCAAGAGTCGGTCAAGAAATAAGAAAAAGAAACTTGTCGAAATACTTTGTGCTGAGAATTTTATATTGTACCAAAAATATAATTGTGAATAAAGCTATAGATAATAATAATATCAACAAAAAAGGAATGGAGAACACTCAATTTGAACTGCAGTGGGTATCAAAGAATAAGACAAAGTACAAAAGAAAGAAAACAGATGAGAGAATTATTAGTTACGAACGATACTTAGATAGATATAGGTAATTCATGCATCTGAGCCACTACAACCAGTTTTCGGTCACAACATCCATTTCCAAATATGGATTATAAGTATTGCGGGGGTTTCAATCTGTAAGTTTTAGCCTATCCACACGATCCTTACTAACAATTGACGACTTAATAGATTGTTATCATATCTTAGCATGTTCTTTCCTAGTTATTTTCCAACGTGCTCTATGCTACCCAACACTGCATATTAGTTCATGTGGTAGTTAAGCATAAGTAGCATATGCCCTAAGCACCTCAGTTGATGAAGATTCATAATCTCATCAATTTATTTGCTCTTCTTACTTTTAATCCACCATATCTATACAGTACTTTCAAGACACTTGTGAGAAAATACTTGCAGCTTACTTGTGTTTTCTACTTTTATATCCAATGATTCACAGATGTAGAGTGAGAGCTTCTTTTTCACTGCTTGCCCTTTCTGTTTCAGTTTTCCGTGTATTGCATCTTTTAGTTTCGTTAGTAATCAATAGTCGTTTCGTTGTTCCGCTATCGTATTGTCCCCAAAATGTTAATTAATTATCACTTATTCTCAATACTTTCCCAGCTATTGTTTTTTAAATATTATTTCCCAGGTCAACTTATTTTGATTTAGGTAATCTCCATTCATTGCTCCAGAAATGCCCATCTAAACAACTTGATTTATTACCCTTTTCTACTTGTGTACATCAAAACTGGTGACAAATGTTACTTCCACTTGATGTTTGGTTTACCTGTTAGCTTATTGCATAATAAGGCGAACAACTGAGGTCACAATTAGGCAGTTCTGAAAACGAAGCTGACCTAGATGTTGCTTGGAAAGATGTACGAACAGCTGTAGAAACACCAGCAACATATATTAGTGATTTGAACCAAAGGGTCACGAAAAACCAATGGATTTCTGCTAAGTCTATTACACTCATAGCTTCTCGTAAACTCATGTCATCAGGCTCTGAGCACGATGGAAAGCGAAAACAAATAATTTGAATGAAAAATCGACCAAATGCTAGTGAGGCTGGAAATGATGTAGCTAGTCAGAAGCAAGGAGAGTAGGAGACCCTAATAGATTAACTTCAAAGATCTCCAAGGATGGTGGTCCAGTTACATCAACTGTGATACTAACAAGAGTCTGGGGATTGGACGTAATCCCATCTGAACGGTCTTGATCTCTGATCGTCGAAGTCTACAAGAAAGTACGAAAATCTTGTTGTGACAACCAAAAGAATCAGGTTGACTAATGTTATTATCTAAAATATTGGCCTCAATATCCATTTGGCGCTTAACTAAGACGTATCAATGACATACATCAACCATGTTTAGGCTCTCAGCTGCACTTTTTTCAACTTCACTTAACTTCACCATAAAATTCTTTGGAAATAATCCTTTGATCGTACAAGTCTTTGAGAATTGATCCTTTATTAGGAAATTCAGTTACTGAATCAGGATCTCCAGATGACATAGTGCTGTCTAGTGAAGATACTGACAATACTCAGTCTCTTGATTGTCTTGAGCAACACTGTTAGCATGTTTGGGATTACATACTCTCCCGCTTCATGACTGGTCTGTACCAACGCCTGAACCAGTAAGTAACGTGGTTGAGTGCATAGATCACTCCTCTTATAGTGAAAGTCTCATCTCTACTGCTTATTCGGTGCATGTCTTAATCTCGGTACGGACACAGATAGCCAAATTGTGTCACTTATGACTTGGGATAGACATCCGTCGGCCAACAAATGGACAAGTTTATTGTGCAACAGTTCACTCTGTTCCAGATTACCGATGTGTGGAGCACGAGCATTAAGAATAGGGAATATTTGTGGTTTATAAGTATTCGATCTCAGGTGTCGTCGGAGTATCGCTCATGTATTTTTGGACGGCTAAATGATGAACAGTGTTGAGGTTAGACATTTGGCACTGAGTAAAGACAGCAAATCGACTGACGAAGTAGTGAAACTTCATGAACTGAGATGATTAGGATATGTATTTTGTATTTGCAACCAATGGCAACTTGGACGGACGATGTAAGAGTAGTATGCTGGAAGGAGGCTAGGTGGATGGAGAGTACGTAGTTGGTGTTGGTGGGATTACCGTAACCAATGGTTAGAGACTCCGAGTGACGTGACTGAGAATCGTTGTTAGTGGCTCAGGTATACTCACTGTTTGCCTTCCATAAGATCCTGAATACCGAAATTTCCTTATACTTTTTTTTCAGTACCTAATCGTTTCTACTTCTACTACCTATGCCACTGATATCGTTACTACTTCTACTACTCTGGTATCTGTTTCCAAATAATTCTCACCGTGCTAATGCGGTATGGTTATTGGAACGGATGCACATGTGTCTGGTTCGATAATATTCAGCTGTTTTCGGTTATTTGTTGCGTCCATTCGACTGCGTACCGTAAATTAGATTTTCTCAGTTGCGGTAAACGCTGCACCTTACATTAACCGATTTCGCCTTTGTTATTATTAACCACCATTGAAACGTAATTTAGACAATAGCGAACTTTGATTGAGTTTAAAAGTATGCAAAACAAAATGTCAGATTATTTATCAAACTTAGCTCTCAAGCAAACTACTAGCCGGCAAACGTGCTGACATAAGTTCAGTTTTCTATCTGTTGTAAAGAATGGCAAGCAACCACGAATCAATGAACATGCCAACTAATAATTCAACCAAAAACGTTTAACGCCGAACAATGTAAATACTGGGGACATTCACAAATTGGGATGTGACTAAATGTTTGGGGTTCATTGACAGTTTTTGCAGACATATTCAAAATGTGAGCTTCGAAAATTTTCTAGACATGTATATGAATAGCTTGACTTTGATGGCCTGTGATGGTACTAAAGTAAGCTTTTTTCTAAAATATATCAATAGGAAATATTGTATGAAGCTTTTGAATATACTGTTGTGGAAAATTTATAAACAATGCCCATAGCTCAGGTATTGAATCTGCCTACAAAAATATACCATTCAAATTGAGTATTTTAATTAATTTACGACCTCTTTCACACATAGCTATTGCTTTGCATAAAACCTCTCAAAAGACCTAATGAGCTGATTATATGAGAAAAAATTTCGAATTAAGCATTCTCTAGCCATCTAGGAAGATTCATCCGGAGATAACACCTGCCTTTTGTACGCCTATTAATGTTAAAATACACTGTATTTCAAATACTTTTATGTAATGTTTGCGTTTATTATATATTACAAATAAATTCTGTTTGCTGTGCTGGTTTACATTAACTCGATTCTATTTCTTCTGCTATAAATCATTATGGATTTTCAGTTATTGTTACTTCTGGTCAGATATAACTCAGTCTTTACTTTGCTTTCATTTGTTAATAGGAACACGTAATGTTTGTGATGGAGTATGCACAGGGTGGTGATCTCATGTCACTTATTCAAAAAAATGTATTTAAAGAACCTCAAGCTGTGTTTTATGCTGGATGTGTTGTTTTAGGTATCGAGTTCCTTCACTCTAAAAAGATTGTTTACCGGTAATCACATTTGTATTTTTCTGTTCATTATCGTCACATTTATATTCTTAATTTCATGTCATTTGATTTTGTTTATTTACGAAGAATAAGTTATTCAATTGAATTGAAATAATATGTTTATAAATACACCAATGAGTAGAAAAATGAATGTTTTCTGACGTTTCGTAACTCAGTGTAAGCCATTTCTTCAGAGAATAAATCTAATTTTGCTACTCATTGGGATATTACAAATATATTATTTTTATAAATAACAGTCTATCCAATTTATTTGAAATTATCAAGTCAAGCCTTGGTAATGACACCTACAAAATTATTCAATTTGTTCTTTTTCTTAATGATATAAATAGAATGATAGCTAAAGAATGTCTGCCCTCCCATTAGTTGTAAACGCAGACACAATTAATAACTTACTATGATAATTAGGAGTAATTGAATTATAGTATGAACTAAGAATCCCAGAAATCACGTGAGTGGATCAAGAATTACTAGATAAGCATGAACGAATGTACTGTATTTAGAATTCTAAATTAGGCATTCAACAAGTACAAAGCAATCATTAGTTCATTCAAACACCACATCCGCCACAGCTTAAATTGGAGTCCAGGTGTCTGTAATTGATTGCACGTCATCTTCTTAAGTTCATCCTGTGTCTGTCCAACAGTGTATTGGATAAAGACTCTGTATTATCTAGGATGCACTCATTAGTATTAGAATTAACAGCGGAAATCGTAACAGACTGACCTGATTTCTGGGATTGTGAACAATCACCATGCCGGTTGAATACTGAAACTACTACCTAGGATATGAACCATAGACTATCCTCCCCTACGAAATAATGTCGGATCTTCATATCCCCGAGTTATGAATAATGTGGCTTCATTTAAAACATATTTCTCACATTAACTAGAGTATACATTGGAAATAAATTTATGATAAGGGTAAACAACAGTTGATATGGAATTATCTGAATTGTAATCAAACTCTAGCTCATTTAATACTCGTGCTTCGCATCGAACAAGTTTGTCACAAGAAACAAATGCATCATGAGGACAAATAATATTTGATATGACATCAAGATTTGATTCTTCTGAAATAGTTTCCTCAAATTTATTAAGAATGTCATTGCAGAGTAAAGGATCGTTAGAAAAATCAGCATCAATTAAAACTACATCAGTTTTTCGATCATGATCAGGTTCATCCGAAATATTTTCACCAGATTTGTAAGAAATTTCATCGGAAATATGTGAATCATTAAGAAAAATCATATCTGGTACAATAACAGGAAATCTGATAGGTTGATTGATTAGGAATTGTTGTCTCGGAAGAATTCTGAGTTTCATTTAACTCTGAACTGCTATACGACTCTAAATTGTCTTTTGAAATCATTGATAAAGATGAATGATCATTATAAATACTCAACTTATTAGGATCAGAATTACAAACTAAGTGAATATTTCCGATATCACCACATTTAAAGCACTTAGAATTATAAAATTTACATGAATTAAAAGAGTTGAACCTGCCACAGGACAAACATTGACCAAACTTGTGCCCATCTTCGTGAACTGCATTGCAACTCAATGAATTATCTGCATAACCTTGAGTATGCACTGGGATGGGGTGACGTAATGTAGTGGAATTTTTCATATCATCATGAATCATTTTACGAAATCGCCCTTTACTGCATTCGAAATTTGTATACTTAGCATAGTCTAGAAGTAGTTCCTTGAGAGTTGTATAAGGAAGAGAAATGGGCTTTTCCGGTAAAGCCAAAACTTTTAATAAGCTATATGCTTCTTTTCCGATGAATGTGAGAAAATGTGCCACAATATTAATATTCGCATAATCTTCCTTGGTCATAGCCCAGATTTCGAACCTTTCAAAGTAATCCTCATAAGCATCAAAAATCCGAATGAATATCTAACTGTTCCATCACAGGCCCCATCGCGACGTCAATATGATAATTAGGAGTAATTGAATTATAGTATGAACTAAGAATCCCAGAAATCACGTGAGTGGATCAAGAATTACTAGATAAGCATGAACGAATATACTGTATTTAGAATTCTAAATTAGGCATTCAACAAGTACAAAGCAATCATTAGTTCATTCAAACACCACACTTACCCATAATTGATTAACATTCATAGATATTTCGAGTTTTTGCACACACATTCTCTAACTTCCCAGTGTGCTTTGCATTTTGAGTGCTTACGGATTTTATTATTTATTAACAATACACTTTCCCGACAACTGGTGTTCTGGATTTTGAATATTCTTAATTATATTCACAGTATTAGTAGGGAGAATTGGGTTGCTAAAATGCTCAGTTAACGGGATATCATATATTGAAGACAAATTAATAGGTATTAACCTCTACAAGTGTTCCATGTACCGTGATTTTCTTCGATACTCCAAGAGAACTCACTCGATATTCAATTTAAGTTAATACTTTCGCAGATAGTGGAAACGTCATTATTTTTAACAAAAAAGCATTATAATCTATCGCCGATTCAAATCTGGTTCCCAATATATGTTGTAACGATATGATACACCACTTTAGTTTATCTTATTTACACTCAGTTAAGTTGGTGGTGTAAGATGCCATTAAACTTAAATAGATCATCGATATAACAAAGTGTATTATCTCAAACTGAACTGTAGCTAACATACTTCAGATAACTTCTTACATGATTGCTTACTCATCTATTACTACTCATCTCATTACCTTACTAACACAGGTTTAATTTCTAGGTTCTGGTGTTCTAGTGTTTTATTTACTATTTTGTTTAGCGTTATACAATGCCTATTTATTTATTTATTTATTTATTTATTCATTCATTCAGTGTTTATGCAGTCCTTGAGAAGCATCTAACATAAATAAGATAGATTAAATTTGCTGTGCAAATTCTATTCTAATCGTAACCAAATGTATGAAGTTACTTTTTCTGTCTAGATTTATCTAAAACTTTATTCACATTATTCAAATATGTTGTTTATGCCAAATCTTACTTTCATTTAATATATATAAGGTTATAAAGTTTTATCAAGTTATTTTTATATGATCCACTTTAATCTTATTATTAGACATTTCGATATAATATTAGTTTTGACACTTATTGAACAAGGATTTACCAGTTCATCAAAATAATTTCACAGAACCTAATAACTAAGCTGATTATTCATTCAACTGTAATATAATCAATGTTGTTCTTAGTGTTGTTCAAATTCTATCGATCAAGTTGTAATTTGACCATTAATTTGATTAATCTAATAAAGTAGTTGATATTTGTCTATATTTAAACATACTAGCAATTGGCAATGTGAATTATTTTTTAAGGTCATCCATTCTGAATGATTAACTACCGTCTAGTTGTATTTTATTGGTTTTGACAAAGAAAAAATTCTTACCAATTTGTAAACATCATTAACTATGACAAATAACAAGTAAATATTATTCACTGTTGTTTGACTTCAATATTCAGATTAGAATAACAAATAAATAATATTGTAGAAATTTCTGTTTAAAGTGTTCATAATTAGATAAATTTGACTGTTTACCATTTTCCCCCAGAAATTGTAGACTAGTTAAGGTTTCTGATAAACTGATAATATTAAGTTTAGGAAGAAATTTTCTTTGTATATTTGGTGATGCATACAGAAGATAAAACAATGTTTACAGTTTACATTGAATTCACAATATTTCATATAGATCATTATTTAAATGATATTGAATGAACTGAAAATAATATCTACATTGAGGCTATCAACAAGAAGCCTTGTATATCCATTCTGTAATATTTAATGGTCACCAGCAGCAAGATTCAGTTTATTTTGTTGATGAATATAACTGAACACGAGATTCGGGTTTTATGCTTCCCGTCAAATTAAAAATTTTGGTCTGAGTTTTCAGTTCACGCACTGTCAAATGTTTCTCTAAGAGATAAAAATGTTCTTACTTTTATAGAAATCTATGACAAATTTCTTCAGATGATATAACATAGTTCGCTTTTCTTTGGTAGTACAATAAGCACTTGGATGTCACTAAATGTGTGAAATTTTATGTTATTTCTATTGTATATTTGCAGTTAAAAGAAATTAACCTGGGATCATTTTAATGATGTTCATTTAGTGTTTCTCTTTGTTTACTAGGCCGAACATAGTCACACCAGTAATTGAATCCTGCTAAAAGTCCTGTATGTTTATCATGTAGACTCTTTTGCTGAAATAACCCAAGTTTTCATGAAATCTATGAAGAACTAAATACTACTATAACATTTTTGACACTGCTTAATGTTCTTCTAGCAACCAAAAAATATTTAGCGATGACTGTTAAACATTTTTCTATTTGACAGGGACTTGTTATAAATGATCCTTTATGTTATTTACCTACACATAGTTTCATGGTATTTCTTATGCCATTTACTTTCATATTGACTTTATGTGTGCCTGTTTGCTGTAAATTCTTTGTTATAATTATTTGTTTATATCAATGAATTTCAGGGATCTCAAACTGGATAACTTGTTGTTGGATTCAGAAGGTTTTGTAAAGATGGCTGATTTCGGTTTATGTAAGGAAGGCATGGGGCCAGATGATCGAACTTCCACATTCTGTGGGACGCCGGAATTTTTAGCCCCTGAAGTTCTCACAGATTCTTCATACACACGTGCTGTAGATTGGTGGGGCTTGGGTGTTCTCATTTTCGAGATGCTTGTCGGCGAAGTAAGTATCATAAAAATTTCTATTTTGGTTACTTGGTTTTTATCTGTTTTAAATCGCGTCTGGTTAATGTCTGTCGCGGTACAAATATATGTTTACATAAATATCTTCAAATCAGGAAGAGTTCGATGCTTTAAGTTGTTAACCAAAAATAATCTGAATGTTAAAAATCCTAACTTAATAAAGTTTTTGTGACAATCATTTTTCTGTTTTTAGTGTCCCTTCCCTGGTGAAAGTGAAGAAGAAATTTTTGACAGCATTGTTAATAAAAGTGTTTGCTACCCTAATTATTTAAGCATGGAAGCTAAGTTAATAATGGGGCGCCTACTTCGTCGGAATGCTGCACAGCGTCTCGGATCTTCAGTTCAAGATGCAGAAGAAATTAAAAGACAACCATTCTTCCGTAAACTAGATTTCCAAGCTCTGTTAGCCCAAAAAATAAAACCACCATTTGTTCCTGTTGTTGTAAGTTATTTGATATTTATATTGAATATTGGATAAAAATTTAACGCTGCATTGGAATTCTGTTACAATTATTACAGTTCTTTCTCTTTAAACACAGTAGATCAACTATAGTGAACCTTTATTTTTGTAATATTGGTTTCCCCTTAACTGCATATATGAGTATAGTTTTGCGTTCATTCCTAAAAATTCCTTCTAAGTTTTATACAAATGTTTTATCGTTCGTTAAGTTCAACAGACTTCAAACCTTTTGATTGATCATGTCTCTTTTGTGATTTTAATTCCAGTCTGGTCCTGAAGATGTTTCAAATTTCGATGAAGAATTCACCAGGGAAAAAGCAGTTCTTACACCAACTAAACAACGTCCGCCTCTTCTAGATGCAGATCAGTTAAATTTCTCTAATTTTGACTATTATTCACATTTAGTGTAATTCCGTAAACGTTTATCGTTTATCCATATGTATCTTTTTTTAGGATATGGTTACTGGGATAGTGTAAAAAAAAGTATGCCTACATCTTTGTTTTTTATTTGTGGTCCTATTTCATCCCTTATCTATCCTCTATTTTAAACACCCTTTTCTCAATTCTTTGTTAGTGTCTTCCGTAGTTCATTTACGGGTGTTTTTAAAACTTTTATTGAAAATATAAATAAACATTTTATCACTTTTTAAATACAAAAGACTAACTTATCATTGATTAAACTGAATACTTGGTATTTTTTCAATCATTCCTGTTTGTTAATTAGTGCCTTTATATGAAGGCAATATTATGTGATTTCCAAATTCACCAAAGTTGTATTTTTGTTTCTTCCTTTATTTAATCTTACCTCTGATTTTGCCTTGGGCTTTTTGTTTGATTTCTAAAGCCATTTTATGTATGTATTACTGTCCATATGTTTACTTTCTTTTTGCAACAATATTATTTTTTTTGTTTCAACAGGAATATTTTATCTATTTATATGCGTATATTGCTTAACTTCTTCCTTCCTCTCTATCTCTTTTGGTCAGATTGCTAGTAGTAATTGTGTTCTTTCTTATCTGTGCCGATCAATTACATGTTAGATAGCTCCCATTGTATAATTTTTTTCTTGTGGTTTTTTTTGTTCAGAGCAATCAGAGTAAATAACCAGTATATATACTCATTGATAAACATAAACATCTGTAAAAATGTTTTGGAATTCTTAAATGTACTTATTGCAGTTTTTCCTCATATACGCATATTCGTTTTTCAAAGGAGTTGACATATCCTTAAAATGATCGTTCAATAGTTTTCGACTTCCAAACATGTTCAAACTTCAGTTTCAGTAGCCGAGGTATATCATTAGTCCTCGCATCTGAATTGTGTCTCAAAGTTAAGCGTACAACTTTTTATTTGGTTAATAATCTCAGTAATCAATTAATTTTTCACAGTTGAATGAAATTATCGTTTGGTCCCAAGATATCCCTGTCCGTATGATAAACGTATAAGCTGTAACTAGGCTTTGAACTTCCTATTGATGATATTGAATGATCTTAACACCCTTCAGGCTACAATTCACTTTAGTTATTAGGTCGATCTTCTTTAGTCATAAACCAAACAAAGGGGTCTGGGTAGCGATGAGTTTCGTACTCTGTAGCTTTAGATTCATTGAAAAATATTTGGATCGGATAATCTGTGATGTTAGGCACTGGAATCGATCGTACTTTCCAATATGTCCTAGATTTTTCCAACTTCGAATTCATTCTGTATAAAAAAATAAATTTATCCAGTCCACCAACTGTTTTCACTAAATTGATAAGTCAATATGAATGTACGCGTACTATTTGTCGGTTCATAGAATGATTAAATATTGGATTTTATTGTGTGTTAGGAATTTATTAACTTATGATCATAGTTATATCATGCAGTATATTAAAGCTTCAGTTATTATTAGTAACTAATTATTTCGATTTTTTAGTCATTGTATATTCATTCACATAATTTTTGCACTGTTTATAAAGAACTCTTGGATATACAGTAAACAAATCTATCATGTGTTATCGATTCAGGGCTTTGTCTGATATCTTGCAAATAAACAGACAACCACAATGCTGGTTATTATTATTATTTTTGTGGTTAGTTTGTTTTTAAAATATTTTTTATGTAATTTAACCTGAAAATATTCTCGTTCTAAATCAATATTGGACTTTGGTGCAGCACAAACATAGAGAGCAGTTAGTTTTCATCTACTTTGTTTCTTTTTTGGAGTAGCTTTGGTATATATGGACTTTATTGCACAAGCTGGAATGATAGTGTGAATAAGGTGCATATTAATTTCATGAATAAAGAGATTCCACCTAATTGCGTTTTGCACAACAGTTTGGTGTTAAGCTTTCTGTTTAAGCTGAATTAGTAATATTTTAAACTCAGTTTATTCATCTAATTAATAATGAAAGCGAATTTCTTGAAAAATATGAACTATTGCGCGTACCGTTTGGACTTTTTAGGCCATATCATAGCGAGTGAGCCAACTCAATTTACTAAGCGTGCCCGATCGTTGTCTACGCAAGATACTCAATATCCGTTGCCCGGATAACATGAGAAACAACCTGCTGTGAGAGAGGACAAACCAGCTTCCAGCTGAGGAGGAAAAGACGTTGGAAATGGATAGGGCATAAATTACGGAAATCACCAAACTGCACCATGAGGCAAGCGCTTACTTGTAATCTTGAATGGAAGGGGAAAAGAGCAAGGTCAAAGAACACACTGCGTTGGGAATTGAGAGTAGACATGAAAAGGGTGAAAAGCAACTGGGAAAGATTGCCCAGGATAGAGTTGAATGGAGAGAGCTGGTGGGTGGCCTATGCTCCTCCACGTGGAGGATTTCTTCAAAGTCCTCCCGCTCGAGATGCAAAATCTTGCTTCTGGATTGGGTTACATCGGCACGAACTAGTGAGCTAAGTATTTGTGAGTGTAGACCGCTTCACTTATCTTGAGAGTTTCATCAGCCCTTGTGGTCTGGTGTGCGACGAAATCTCAGCATGGATATAGAAGGCTCGACTAACTTGCGTCATTTAGGGCGTGGGCGAGATATCCGTCTACTAACCAAAGGACGGGTTTACTGCGTAGCAGTTCGTTCCTTCCTACTCTATGGTCGTGAAACATGGCCAGCAGGAGTAGAGGATATTCGTAAGTTACTAGTATTCCATCATAGGTGTCTTTGAAGTATTGCTCGTATATCCTGGAACCAATGAGTGAGTAATGCAGTTGTTAGGAAACAGGTACTAGGTAAGGATGGCAAGTCAATTTATGAAGTATTGAGGTTTCATCAGTTGAGATGGCTGGGGCACGTGGTACTTATGCTCAACCATTGACTGCCCTGATGAGCGATGTTTTATGGCGTAGGAGTAGGTCGGAAGAAAGCTAGGGGCGGCCAGACCAAAGCATGGCACGAATCCTTGAAGTCACTGACAAGTGGGCTGAGTCATGTTGGTAATTGTGGACCACCTCTTTGGAATCCGCGAGATGATAGCAACCGATGATTAGACACATTGAATGACATGGCTCAAAATCGTTTGCAATGGCACAGGTGCATCCACTCTTTGTGTTCTCCCAAATTCTAAACTGAATTCTTCATGTCCCTTCTTTCGTCTTTCCAAATTTATTTCACTGTATTATACTCTTTGAATAATATCTTCAAACCCTAATCTTTCCGATTACTGCTCATACTCTTACTATCTCTCCCACTATGGGATTTGAATTGAAAATTGTATATCTGTGTTAATGTGGTTTGGCAACTTGAACCGATGTACGAACACTCAAAGCTCTAAATTGTTGCTAACTGATTGACTGACCATGCCAGACAGATCGGTTGGAGAGCGGTAAGACTAAAAGCAGCAAACCCAAGGTCCGAGGGCGAAGTTGTATTGCTGACTGTACGGACGTGTGGCTGCAGTTAGGTGTTTCCTTCAGACGACCAGCATAATAGCGATGTTACCTTCCCACAAGGAAGACTGGGGTTAGTAAAGGTCGATCCTAAAAATGCACACCGCCTTATCTTACGGATCTCCGTCTCAGGCGGTAAGTTCCCAACAAGTACTGTGCTAACATGAAAAGGTCGTGTGAGACCGGCCTCAAGCAGTAGTCCCTTGGGCACTGTGGTCACGCCCTCGGGTAACTAAGATCAGCTCTAACGCAATTCCCTTTCCAGGTACCTCTAGATGAACCCTTCCACGGTGTGGGCAACCAGGAAGTTATAACCGCTCTTATACCTCTAACAGCACTCAAGATCAGTTTCCCTCTTCAAACCAAGCGTGAATCAACATTTATAGTCGAACAAAAATAAGTTACAGACGTGATGAATAGGATAAGACGTGCACACACATACGTTCATATAAAAACAGTTAGGGTGATAGGCGCATTATTGATGAGGTCAAAATATGACTCAAGATGAGTGAATAAAGTAATCTGTTCGAAAGCTAGAATAAGCTGTGTGGGCCTATCATAGCAACCAACACTACAGGCCTATCATCGATCATATTACTAACTAATATATGACGATAAATTTGTGTCGAACGTATATGTGTTTTTGTGGATCTATCGAGTTCACATAAAAAAGACGTGGAATTTCTCTATGAAATATATATTGTGTAAATTGATAAATCTTGGGATTTTTTCATTTACTGGAAAATTACCTTGAACAAACTCCATAGTGTAAATATTATAGTCTTTTTTCAGTATTGATTGCTTTGTATGTTAGTGAACAAAGCTGAAGTGTTAATAAGTATCATACATTTGTAACGTTCCAATGAGTAGAAAAATTAAATTTTCTAGCGTTTCATAACTCAATATAAGCCACTTCTTCAGAAAATAACTAAAAAAATTAAAATAACTAAGGTCTAAATAGTACAAAAGGACATTTGTAATTTGAAAGGGTAGAGTTGAATTTCTATGTATGATGGTGGTTTGAGATGTGAATGGAATCAGACATGGTGATTCGGGTAGATGGTCCAAGTCGGACGAATAGTAGGACCTTATCTATTGAGGGAAGTAGGATTTAATAGTGTATGGAAAGCGTCAGCTACTCGCCTTTTAGTTATAAAAGCCCTTTTGTATTATTTCGATATTTGAATTGATGGTTATTGAAAATGGCATGCATCGCTATTGCCGATCTAATTTGTAGTCTTTCAATTTCTATAAGATTATTAAGTGGTTGTTTCGTGCGCCTAAGCTGTTCTTTCGCTCGAGTCAAAAGTCCACGGGACGACCAATATGGAAGGCATCACAATCGACACACTTTAATTTGCAGACACAATTGTGTTGATATAAAAGGGATCCATATCCTTCATACGAACTAAAGCATTTCGAATGGTGTTAGTTGCTTTGTAGCATGCTTTAATTCAGTGTTGCTTTAAGACTCTTTGGAGTTCTGTTATATCACAATAGTATCGTGAAACTACAATCCCAATCCATG